GGTTTCCCCTCAGGTGCTCCTCGCGCACGGGTTCTCAGGGTTGGGTTTCCTGCGAGGGTTTCTTGCGGCCGCGCCCGCCCTGTACTTCCATCCACCGGGACGCCCGAGGCAGCATGTGTGCTGTGAGCGCCTGGCGGGAGGAGGCCCAAGCTGGAGCAGTGCAGCGAAGCTTGGGATCCAGGCTGATGCTGCCAGTGCTCAAACCGATGTTTAAATCGAGCCATGCGAGGCGTCGCCCTGCGAAAGCAGTACCAAATCTGATCAGATACATCATCCAGAGGGCGTCGGCAAGGCTGGAAGAACACACTATCGTCGACACAAAAAACTACTCGTCGCCCGAACGTTTGCAAGCCACTACCGTTGTGCAACCAAGAATGTGCCATATTCCACGGGATATGTTTCCGCTGTGCAGAGGATCAAGGAGCACGCGATGTTGTTCGAGAAACCGCCGATGGGTATACCACAGAAACTCGCAATTGCATCGCCCACTGTGGTCAGATTCATACGTGTGAATGCTGCCAACACGCAACGCCAGTTCGACCAGCGTGAACGTGGCCAGATTTCGGCGCGGTGTCTGGGGCCTGCCCCCGAAGAATGCCTGACGACGTCTGCCGCGGAATACTGTAACGTTTCCTGGGGCGCTGGCTTCTCTCGCCTGGCGGAGTGTGTAAAGTACAGCTTCGTCTGCGTCTCCAGCACGTACGTTTTCAAAGAATTGCCCTGCATTTGCTACGATTCCTTCCTATGCATGTTTGGGGAGCCGCACCGGTAGCACGTGCAGCCTCCAGCCCCATGGGTGGCCCTCATTTGAGCCAGGTTGCTCCTCAGCTCCACGGCAGCGTCACGCAAACGCCATACTTCAAAGCCCAGGGAGAATCGGTTCACCACTGTCTCCACTCCCCTGGATACGAGCCTCTCCGCCTGGGCCAAGGAGCAACACTCAGTATATTTCTGCAGCAGCTGTGGATCTCACGCTGGCGAGAATGGGGCCGATCGGATGGCCCAGCGAAGCATTTGTTTCTGATTGTATTGTATACATGTGGCAACCTTCATGTCGGGACGTCTGTGCTCAACCGCTCGTGTAGCCTATCGGGGACCAAACCGACAAGCATGTCGTCCAGCCCTGTGTTCGCTGCATGCCTACTCATTCTGGTCATCTTCCAAGACTCACTCATTGTTTCTCACATACTCGAACAGATTAGCCACGAATGTTTTGCGAGGTACCCACCATGCCGTTTGCTTGTCTTCGGCGCCGTTGCAAAAGTTGCCTGTGCAATTCGTGTGGAACGTCTCAGCGTATTCTTTCTGTTCCGAAGTTGACTCCGACCATCCGTTTGCCTGTCTCACGAACGCCTTGTCGTGTGTACCCCGTTCTTCCGATCACGTTCGCAACGCTGCGCGGGCTGCGCCGCGCCCGCTCCACTGTAACATTACCCGGAATGCGATACTCCGAGCATCTGCCGCCTGAGACTGGAGGAAAGGCCGGATAGGCACATCCAGACGTTGCATAATACGTATCGTATTTCGGCCTCTCGCAACACGAATGCGCTTCCTCGGATATTGATTCATGAACTCGCTCAGCGGCAGTTGTAGCCAAAAGATGCTGAGAGGAAACCTGATGCAGGTTGTCCTTCACATGGCAGGGTGCCAGGCGCACGCCCTACTTGGTCGCTACAGCGGCACTTCAGATTGATCAGCTGCGCGATATTACAATCAAACAAGCCTCACTAGTCGAAAGGCTTCTTGCACCTCCTTTTCCTTCTCTGCTGCTGGCCTGGATGACACCTATATTGGGGATGGGTGGGGGACGGACATGCGATGAATATGTTGGGTGGGTTGGGCGGGCATGCTTAAGTAAGTCACTTCGTTTGCTTGCTGCTCGGCGTAGCTCTTTGCACCTTTCAAAGTTCTTTGCCACCCGAGAAGGCACGACCTTTGGATAGAACGGGGGCTCATGCTTAACTACAAGGGGTGCTTGGTTAGTGAGGTTAGTGCCTACCTCGAAGACCTGGCGGGCGCCTACTCTTCACGCTACTCTTAGCTTCGCCTTCTCTTATTTCATTGTCCGCGGCGCCCGCCAGGTACCTCTTTGACCCGAGTCTCACCTCATTTGTTCAATGCTGCACTCCATAGACGCAACAGGCTCGCTCCTAATGTCGGTCTAACGTAAAAAAAGAGAACGAGAACGAGAACGAGAACGAGAACGAGCAGGATAACGAGAAGGAGGAGGAGAACGAGAAGGAGGAGGAAGAGGAGGAGGGGGAGGAGGGGGAGGAGGAGGAGAATGAGGGAGAGGATTCCTCCTCCACATCACCATCGTCACTACTCACATCACCACCATAAACACCATGAACACACTCGTACACAACACCATCATCGTCACCAACACCATCATCCTCATCAGCATCGCTCGCCACCCCCTCCCGGCCCACCTCATCTTGGGCCTCCTCCTACTCCTCCGTTTGTGGGCCGTGTCGCTTGCTTTCCTCCTCCTCCTCCTCCTCCTCTTCCTCCTTCTCCTTTTCTATTCCCCCCAGTATTCATCCTCATCCGCCTCTTCCACTCGCGTGGCGTATGATCGCCTCACGATGCACTTCAAGTTCCAGGATCAAGTTCTGGCTTGGCCAGACATCCGATATGTGTTTTCCAATGCGCGGCCCCAGAGGTCCGGACCGCTTCCCCGGGGCCAGCTGTTCGCGCCACAGACCCCAGGGCCCAACAGCGGGTTCACAAACCGAAATCGAAGAAAACGCTCGGACTGAGAAAATCTGATCGTCGGAGACTTGGGCCTCTGCCTACCTGACCCCCGCTTTTCCTCCGCACTCCCTCGCCTGCGATCTGATATGGCGACACCAATACACCTGTGGTAGGGAGAAAAAACACGACCGGAGACCTGGACCCACATCTCTGCGCAATCTTTGTCGAGCGAGATCGGTCTGTGAGTGTCCCGGGGGCCCGAAGTGGGGCGAAAATGCCCGGCTCGCAGACATCAAGCCACCAGGATAGGGGGCCACATGCGAACCCTCCCCCTTCCCCCCCACGGTTTCTGAGGGCGAAGCGAACCCCACCCTCCCCCTCAGAAATCTTAGGGGGTAGGGGTAGGGTTCGCACGTGGCCCCCTGCATGAACTCAGGGCCCCTCCGCAGCCGCTGTCGGGCCCGAGGGAGCTCGGGCGCCCGCAGCTGGTCCCAGGCGGCAGGCGGCGGGCCATGAGCGCGGGCGTCCGTGGAGCGGGTGTGCGCGCGGGCCCTCGCCGGAGGGCAACGAGAGCGGGGATCATTCAGGCAGTGGCGAAGCGTCCTGGCTCGCCTATAGCCCCCCCGAACAATGTTCTGCGAACCTCCTGAGGTTCCCACGAGATGTTCTTAGAACATTTCTGGCGGAGTCTGTCCTGTTTCAACACATCGGGTCTTTACGTTCTGAGAACATTGTTTTTGTTATTAGAACATTTGGGGGTTTCTAAGAACACTTCGTGGTAGGACTACAGGAGTGCCGGGACGTTCGGTCCCTGCACATGGATCGGCTCACGGTTAAGTCGGGCCTGTCCCTCTGCAGGAGGAGTACCAAAACATAGTCGAACAGTAGTTTGGGGACGATTGTTTGACCAGTGTGGAGTATTTTAGAATTCTTGTCTTGACTATGTTTCATTTTTTCCCCTGAAATCCCCCTGTAGGGGGACAGGCCCGACCTAAGCTCAGGGGGGGATTGCATCGACCCCCAGTGGCCCATTCACCGCCGGTAGGCCCCAAGGCCGCCTCCAGAAGATTCAGTTCCCTAAGCGGCCGTACATTGAAGCACGTCGAATCTCCAAGTGTGATTCGCACGAGTTGCTGGAGATCCGTGCAGCAGCCTGTGCAGCAACAGCGCGCAACTGGAATATAGGGTTGCAGCGCCGCGGGTGGAAGAAAAAAGGGTTAGGCAGGCACTCGGGGGTGGGCTCAGGGGGGGGGAGGCATCGATCCCTGATGGCCCATCTGTCACTCTAGCTTTAAGTCGGGCCTGTCCCCCTACAGGGGGATTTCCGACGAAAAATAAAAGATACCCCCAACATAGTCAAAAGATAGTCCAAAAATAGTCTGGAGACTTTTTTTGTTGTTTTAGTATTTTCTGACCTTGTTGGGGCATTTTTGGGGTATGTTTTATTTCTCGTTGAAAATCCCCCTGTAGGGGGACACGCCCGACATAACTCTAGCTCGGCGTTTACCCCCCTGAGCTGGTCCCCCGCTGAGTATCATTGCCCCTCGCTCTGGCAGCGGGCCGCGGCGGCGTGGGCGCTGAACGTCGAGGGGAAGAAGCACGATGACCGGGGCCAAGGCGTCGCCCATGGATCGGCACGTGGGGCTGCCACGGGGATCCCTGAGATCCTGGCGTCTCCATGTTTGCGAGCCGGACGTTCTCGCCCGGTTTCGGGCCCTGGGAACCTTGCAGATCGATCCGGTTCGAAAGATGGCAAGAGAGATCTGTAGGGTGTTGGGCTCTGGTCATGGTTTTGCACGATGTTGCAGTCGTTTCGATACATCGGATCTCATGGATACGGGGGATGATCAGTGGTTGCCAAGGTGGCTTATATCTGGCCTAATCTCTTTCAGAAGTGGTTACACATGCCCCAGGTGGTTTAGGGGGTTAGGTAGCGATCTGGGCTAGTGGGCTCCGCCCACGTCGTGGGGCTATTGAACCCACCCGTCTCCACGTGGGACAATCGTAGTTCATCTCTTTAGCCCATATATAACCCACCTTTGCCTGAGAACACCCCTCCCCTTAGCAACCCCCGCGCCGATCCCAGCAGGCGTGTTCGCTTCGCGAATGAAACAGGACGGGACGTTATGCCAGCCGCCGCCGGAGGTTCTGCCGGGCGCCGCCGATTCGCGAGGATGCCGCACGAACAGACGATGACCAAGGTGGGCGGGGCCAAAATCGGCTCTGGTGTCCGCGTTCAATCTTGGTCATGGTCCTCGCCGTCTTCCCCTCCACGAGAGTCCTCGTGCCAGGGGGGCGCCGGCATGCCGGAGGTCGAGGCGCGGCCCTCGCCCAGGGAGGTGCGCGTGCAGTACGACGGGAGGGAGTACGACTGGCCAGACCTCGTGGGCTCCCCGGACATCGCTGTGCTGCAGGAGAACATCCTGCACTACCTCCGAGTTCCCCTCGAGCGGCAGGGCATTTCGGGGGGCGCCAGCTGACCACCTCACACCGACCGTGGCCGCGCCCATCCTGGGCGGTCACCGCTCGTCAGATCCGGCCCGCCGTGGCCAGAAAAAGAAACTCTCTGCGTCTGATTTGCGTGCGCGATGGTGGCGTGCTGGCAATAGAGCTGCGACAGCTGAAGGCCGCGCGCGCACCTGACACGAATGGAACGCAGGAGGAAGGCTGAAGGAAGGAGGGGCGCACTCGTGAGAGCCCTGCTCCACACGTTCAATTGCATTTTGCGCCCTCCCTCACCGACGCCCGACACTCGGAACCCAGCAGTCTTCAACGTCATACACACAAGCGGCGACCTACATCGACCCGACAACTACCCACCAATGGCAAGCATGCCATTGCTGCACAAGCGTTTGTTCAAGCTGTCATACGACCGCCTGAGCGACACAACTTTGGACAACCAACAAAGCCTCGATCAAGCCGCATTCGGCCGAAACGAGGCACGATTGACCATTTATGTTTTTTTGTTTTCAATTGCCTTGCACGAGATATCAGATGAATGGTAAATCCATTTTTAAGTGGCAGCGGTCAGTTTTAAGAAGGCTTTCGACATTGTGTGATGCACTCGATCGTGCGGGAGGCCTTCCACGACCAGCACATCTCACTTCCAGACATCAGTTTGCTCCAGAAGTTGTAACACCAGCCGGCAAGATCTAACTATAAACACCAACCGTCTCAGCAAGAAGTTCGGCAGTGAACGGGGCACCGAACAAGGCGACCCGTTAAGCTCACTGTTGTTGAGTTGTGTACCGGGACAAATATGCAACGAGTGAAGCAGACATGGGCGCCAAAAGGATTTTGATTCCAATTGCGACCGCACTGTATGGAATTTCTATACATTGAAACGGTTCTCCGGCGACCTACTGCTGATCGCACGATCTAGCGACGACATATGCTAGCCGTCTTCAGCGCTGCAGCCGCAGAGGCAAGTCTACAACTCCACCCGGACAAGGTTTACAACTCCACCCAGACAAGCAAAACACAGACATGCCGGCCACATGCCAAAACAACGAGCACGACATCCACCAAACCACGCGTTTGGCCATGACATGACAATAGCAACGGTCCTGCTTCAGGGTGCGATCAATATTTAGGCCGAGAGCTCCAAGTCTGCGACAGCCGCAACGCCAAGGTGGAAAGCAGAGTTGCGTTGTTTTGGAAGAAGTTCTACCGACTCTATCAGGAGCTGGCGGGACCCAACTAATACCCCATGGACGACCGTTTCCAGCTATTGCATGGGGCCGTTACGTCGGCGTTTCTGTATGGGTGAGGAGCGTGGATTGTCACGCAGTATCTTGGAAATAAATTCCGCAACATTCAACGCCGCATGCTCCGAATGATAAATATGACGTCGCGGAGAAAGACCAAGAGCACTGCCGAACTCGTACGACCTAGCGAACGTGTCAGTGACGAACGTCAACATTGAGGACAACGGCGCTACCGGCAACCATGACAGCGGCAGAGATGTAGACAGCGCGCCGCCGTCCCCAATCCATGATATAGATATCGACCAAGAAGAAGACGCACTCGAACTCTTGGCGGAGTGGATCCGACGTGCTACATAACTGGATGAACGTGCATTTTCGAGGCTGCATCGATCGGGCTTGACCACATTTGTCAGGGAAAGAAAATGGGAATTGATTCGGATGATAACCACCAGCAGCGCGAAGGAATGGGGACGCAACGCATTCCAATGGGAAGCATATCATCCTGGACATAAAGACACATTTGAAAGACACAATTACCGGCGGGACGCCCTAAAACACAATGGTCATACGATCTCCTACAATATTTGCAGCAGTACGTCCCAGACGCACTCAGGAGAACCGCAGGTCTGCTGCAACTTGCGAAGACGGGTACGTGGGACAAACTGAAGGAAGCGTGGATATGATAATCAATGGTTGCTTTGTGTCTGCGCTCTGGCACATGTTGGTTCGACATCATACTCACCACCACGTGTCCCCCCGACTCCAGCACCACGTGTCGTTCCAACTCCCGCTTCAATGATCATCTCTGCGACTTTTTCTTCCACCTCTCCGACTCCAATTCCTATGTCGTCGACTTTAGTCCCCGACTCCAGCTTCCTCCTTTCTGACTTCACGTCTCCGATTCTGTGTTCAAATGGTTGATGCTCGATCCGGCTCCAGCTCCCGCCTGTCCGACTCCAGTTCCTGATCCATCGACCTTGGTCTCCGATTCCAGCTTCCTTTTTTCGGATTCCTACGTTGGTTCCAGCTGCATTAGCCATCTTTACGATTCCAGTCCCTTTGTCACGGACTCCGACTTCTGCTCTACATGTCTTTCCGGCTCCAGCTTTTCCGATTCCCGTTATTTCACGATTCCCACGTCTTTGATGCCGGCTTCATGGTTGATTTCCACCTCTGGCTCTCGTCTTTCTGGCTATGGTTTCGTCGGTTTTGGTCTCCGTTTCGGGCTTCCCTTTCTCCGACTCCAACATCTGCAGTTTTGGCTTCAAATTATTGTTGCCGATTATGGTTCTTGTTTTCTCGCCTCCGTGTTCAATGATCGTCTCTCGGGCTCCGGGTTCCATGTGTTCGACTCCAGCTGCCATTTCCAACCCAATTCCGCATTTTTCTGATTCCAGCTACATTGGTACATCGGTCAGCTCGTCGACTCCAGCTCCCTTGTCACGGATTCCAGCTTCTGCTCATCGGGAATAATTGTAGACCTGTTGACTTTAATAGCACGATGGAGACGTAGTCTAATTAAGGTCCCCGTCTTTGTTTGCATTAGGGATCATACATCTGGGTGGTCTGGTTCGACACATATGCTGAACATATTCCTTACCTATACGACCACCCTGCGGGTGATAAGGAAATTGTGGGGGGGGTGGGAGGGGGGTGTCTCATGACGACAACTGTGGTCCATGATACCAAATGAAAGTGGCCGCCACCCTCATAGGAGGAAGGAGAGGAGGAGGGAGGCGATGAATGGCAATCGAGCCTCCGTCCTAGCAAAAAAGCGACGAGCTGACCGACTTGCGTCGCATGGCCTGAGCCCTTGAGCCGAACTAAAGATTTAAATAATTAGGTTAGAGTGGAAAAATTAAGGATGCGAGGAGGAGAAGCAAGAGAAGGTGTCCCATGATGAGCAACCATGATGGTGTCCCATGATGAGCAGCGGTGATGAGCAACCATGATGAGCAACCTGCGGGACAATGATGAGCAACCGTGATGAACAACCATGATGGGCAACCATCATGGGCAACTGGCGGGACAATGCTGATTGCACGATTGATCTCACTATCGATCTCACGATCGATCCCACTATCGATCCAACATTCGGTGTCGCATTCGGTCTCACAGTCGATGTTACGATCGATCTCACCATCGATCTCACTATCCATCCCACTATCAGACTATGGATCCCACAACATATCTCACTATCGATCTCACTATCGATCTCACATTCGGTCTCACTATCGATCTCCATCGATATCACAATCGATGTCACAATCGATCTCACATTCGGTCTCACGATCGATCTCACGATCGACGTCACTATCGATCTCACCATCGATCTCACGATCGATCTCGCTATCGATCTCACGACATGACACCGACGGGCCACCGACGGGACAATGCGGGTTCGATCTTTCAATCTATTTCTCTCACTATCGATCTCACAATCGATCTAACTATCGATCTCGCAGTCGATCTCACAACCGATCTCACTATCGGTCTCACAACCGATCCCACATTCGATTTCACAATCGATCTCACTTTCGGTGCCACTATCAATTTCACGATCGATCGCACGATCGATCTCAGTATCGATCCAACATTCGGTCTCACATTCGGTCCCACTATCGATCTAACTTTCGGTGTCACTATCAATTTCACGATCGATCTCACTATCGATCTCACGAAAGGACAACGGCGGGCGACCGACGGGACAATGCGGGCCACCGCTTGACACGCGCCGGCGGGGGAAACATTCATGTTGGCGAACCACGAACGACAGACAGGACAACGGCGGGCGACCGACGGGACAATGCGGGATACCACTTGACACGCGCCGGCGGGGGAAACTTATTTGTTGGCGAACCACTAGCGACAGACAGGACAACGGCGGGCAACCGACGGGACAATGCGGGCCACCGCTTGACACGCGCCGGCGGGGGAAACATTCATGTTGGCGAACCACTAGCGACAGACAGGACAACGGCGGGCAACCGACGGGACAATGCGGGCCACCGCTTGACACGCGCCGGCGCGGGAAACATTTATGTTGGCGAACCACGAGCGACAGACAGGACAACGGCGGGCAACCGACGGGACAATGCGGGCCACCGCTTGACACGTGCCGGCGGGGGAAACATTTCATGTTGGCGAACCACTAGCAACAGCAGAATGAATTCCTCTCGCCCGCGCACGCAGCTTCGCCTCGCCCGCACGCACGACACGAACACGAAACCGAAACCGATTTCCCGGTGGGGGGCTTTCCGTTCCACTTCGATCTCACCCCCCAACCTCCGATCACCAATGATTTTGGCCCTCTTAACTTGGATCCCCTCCTTAAGTGTCACGGGTATTGTTATTGCCAATGATCTGCCCCGCACGGCCACCCGCGACACTGACCACGATCCACGAGTCACTATGCTGGCGCCCTGGCGCCCATCCGCGACACCCGCGTATGTGTCTCATGCGGGTTGTCTTGTCTTGTCGTGCCATGGTAACCCCATGGCTGCACGCCCTCCTGGTTTGGCCGGGCGCGGCCAGGCCAGGCTGGGCCCGGCTCGGTGGGGTGCCCAGACATCCGCCGATACCCGATATGCCTTGCTCCGAAGCGCCGCCGCAGGGGTCCCGCCCCTTTCCCCGGGGCCAGCTTCTCGACTCGGATCCATTTCGGATGGCCCCGGGGCCCGAGAACAGGCCCTGCAGGGACCGATAACCGGGATCGGACCAAGACGCCTGGGCTGAAGACACCTCATCGATGGAGGTTGGAGCTTGCGAGCCGTGCCTCGGGTCTCCGACACCCGTTCGGGCCGATCCCGGCACCCCGGGAACGCCCGCGAAGAGGCGCAGAGGATGGAGGCCGCCCCAGGCCACGAAAGCTGTCGAGAACCTCCGCAGGCCCCCGAGACTCCCGAAGCCGCTGCCACCTCCAGGCACCAGCGCCCAGGCGGAACAGAAAACGCATCGTCGGAGATCCGGGGTGGCCAGCGGACGCCCCCCCGACCGTCTACTCCCGGGCGGGGCCCGTGCTCACCGCGGCAGACGTGGCGCAGGAGCTGCGCCACGAGTGCCCCCGCTTCTGCGTCTACGACTGCGGCGGCCCGTGCCGCAGGAGGTTCCCGCCGGAGCGCTTGGTGGTCGCGGGGCCGGCTGTCCTCGTGGGCGAAGAGCGGATCCGCGTCTGCGGCCCAGCGGGCGGGATTTTTCCGCGGACCCAGACCCCTCGAGCAATGAGAAAATCATGACGGAAGGTTCTTCCACATTTTCGGCCTCCGGGGGCCCTCACCGGGCCTCGAGAGCGAAAAAAAAACGACTCAGGATGCAAAGCCGGTCACGGGGAACGGGTCGGGACTCCTGGGGGTCGACGTATTGAAAGAATCATTACGTCGGGGGTCGCGTGTCCGCGGGATCGCGCCCCGGGGCTCCAGACCGCGAGGGCGCGGATGCGGACCCGTTCGCCGCTCGTGAGGTCCTGTCGGCGAGCGGCGACGCCGTGGGCCCTCCTCGGGGGCAGCGGTCAGGGGGAGACCTGGCCCAGGGGGATAATCTCGGGGGGCACGAGCTGCACCCCGGGATCGGCGCAGGGGGTCGCTGAAGGGCGGGGGGGAGGGTCATCGGTGGATGCAAATGTGGTTTCTGTCTGATCTGACCTAATTAGCTGACCAGCGAGTTACACATGCCCCCACCCCCACCAGTGGCTCAGGGCGGTTAACGATCCAGCCTTCGTGGGTTCCGCCCACTTAGCGGAGCTATCTAACCTCCGGCGATCTGATCGTTTCAGTCCCCGGGCTCCCGCGGACCATCGAAAATTGTTTTGGGGCGGAAAATTGGCCCCAGGGCAGGGGTCGGAAGCTCGTTGGCCGCGGATTGGAAGCAGTCCTACCAGAGGACGCATGGTAAGTGTACACCTGCGCTGGTCCTGGCCAGGCCGATCATGGGCCCAGGATCTGCATGCATGCATGCCCCCTTCCCTTAAGCCGCGAGGGCTCAAGCTCCGATCCCAGGCCCAGGCTGAGCCGCGTCCTCCTGGGGAAGCGTCGTCGGCCTATAATCGACGATGCATAGCCCAATCAGGGCCTGGTTGCCCCACTCCGCCCATGAGAGGTCGGTTTTGCCACCCGGGGCCCATCGCCGATCGACCAGCGATGCTTCGCCGATTCCACGTCTATGTCTCGCCCCCCGCCACCACCTGAGCCAGTCGCCCCCCCTATCGTTCCCCCTCACCTCCGTGCTCCTCCGACGCTGGATGCGATGCGGTGGGCCAGCAGGCAGGCGAGGTGGCGGACTCGGGCGTGCCGAGCCCGTGCGCCTGCGGCGCCCCCACAGAGCCCGCCGCACGCGTGGCCTGTGACACCCCCGTGCTGCCGGCGCCGGTGCCCGCCGCGACGTGCCCCGCGTGGCGGCCACAGGGGCAGTGGCCCGACGTGCCCGAGGGCTCAAGGCGGGAGGCGGTGGAGTTGGCCGCGCTCGCCGAGGTCCAGAGGAGAACACGACACAGAGTGAGTCATTTCTGCATGAGTGATAGAGCCATAAGTTTCCTGAGAAGTTTTGGTGGGATCAGCGAAAACGTACCTCTTGAGCACGAAATCTCCGAAGCTCTTTTGAGACACGGGATTTTTGGAGCTTTGCACGGATTCCTTGGATCGGCGCTGGGTCCCCCTGGCGCCGCCCCTGGCGCGCTCCTCGCGCCAGGGAGGGGGGTGTGGCGCCGAGGCAAGAAGTCCGCGTGGACCTCGGAAGTTGGTGGTTTTAGAGTTTGTTTCTTCTTCTGGAGAGGTGGAGGAGCTGCTCTCCGAGCGCAACAGGTTGCAGCACGGCTACCTGGAGGCGACCATGACCCTGGAGGCGGCCATGGAGCTGCAGCGGCGGAGGCTGGCGGGCTTGGAGAGCTCTCTGCAGGACAGGCGCCAGGAGCAGTTCCAAGAAGACGAGGCGAGCCTGGCAAGGCTCTCTGATGCGGAGGAGCTGCTCCGCGAGCGCACCAGGCTGGAGCAGGGGGCCTTCGAGGCGACCAGGACGCTGGAGGCTGCCGTGGGAGTGCAGCAGGAGTCGAAGAACCCAGAACGGCATGAACCTAAACTGTCTGAGGTCCGCGCGGGATTCTTGGAGCGGGGTTGAGCCTTCTGGCGGCGCCGCCCTGGCGCGCCCCGCGCAGCAGGAAGGGGGACTCCAACGCCGATCCTGGCAATCTGCGCGCATTCCCAAACGTTTGTGCTCATGCCGTTGCTTGTCCCACAAAGGATCGGATAGCGGACCTGGAGTGCCGTCTGCAGGTCGGGCGCCAGGAGGAGCTCCGACGCGAGGCGAGCCTCGCGGAGTTCGAGGCCGCCGCCCTGGCGGCCCGCCGGGAGGCGGAGGATCGGGGAGACGTAACACTTGGGTTTGTTGGAGCTCGGGCTTGCCGACGCTGTCTGACGGGCCCATCCAGAAGTTTGACGGTCAAGTTTTCTCGGGATACTTGCAGCGGGAGCTCGCGTCAAGCTTCAGATGGGGTCTCGTCGCTTTTCTGACGGCCCCGTCAAACCAACCCCTTCTGTTGGGTGGATCTCTCGAGCTTTCCGCCGCCTCAAGCGGTGCGCGTTCAGAGCATTAACGCAGCCAAGAGATATTGTGGTATTGGTTTGTGCACTCAACGCGGCCTCTGTCCACACCCGCCTGGGTGGAGCAGCTCTCGTGGACATGTCGCGGGGGCTCCCCGGCCACTGTGCTGATGCTGAGCTACAGCTGCACTGTCGATGCCTCGCTTCGGGCGGGGCTGGGACGAGGATCAATCCTTCCCAGAGCGTCCCGCGGAACGCTCTCGGGGCCTTCCGGAGCGCTCTGAGAGGGCTGCGGCGCCTGAAAAAACCTCCAGAGCCGCCGCACCTTAGCGAGTCCCGATGTCTCCTCGTCCGCTGTCGTCCTCGTCCTCGGCTCCCCGGGCCAGAGCCCTGCGTCTCTCCGTGAGGAGCTCGGGCTGGAGGTTCGCGAGCTGCGCGCCCTCGAAGGCCGCGCGCCTGCCTCGCGAGGGACCGGCCCGGCGCGCGAGGGGTGCTGGCATGGGGGCCAGGCGCGGCGCCAGACTCGGGCGAAGGGAGTCCGACCACTAGCAGCGGGGGGGCTCAAAGGTGTGCAGTAGGCTTAAGTCGGGCCTGTCCCCCTACAGGGGGATTTTCGACGAAAAATATAAAATACCCCAAACATAGCCAAACAATTATCCAAAAATAGTCCAGGGATTTTTTTAATAGTATGTTTTGACCTCTTTGGGGTATTTTGGGGGTATTTTTTTTCGTCGAAAATCCCCCTGTAGGGGGACACGCCCGACAGAACAGTAGGGGGGCCCGACCACAAGAAACCTCCCACAGGAAAGCCAACCCAGAGACCCGGGGACGCCAGTGGATTTTTGGTATGGGAGCGTCACGCTCTCCATCGCAAAACAGTCGAAACCCAAGAAGCCCAGGGCACCCTGGAGGCAAGCATGGTGTGTCTTGGCACGGGCTTCCACAGTACGCAATAGTTCGTACAGTCGTTCGGGCTGGATCGTGCTGGATGCGGGCAGACCGCGTTGCATTTGGCATGGCTGGTCGAAGAGAGGCCCCGCGCCATGAGCCACAGGATGAGCTAATGCATCTTCTTTCGCGACCCCATTGCGAAAGACTTCATTTGCTCGGAACCAACGGAGGCCCCAAGCCTCCAACGCCATGCAAAGATCAAGACCGACTGTGAGGTCCTGACGGCTCAGAGTTTTCGAGCTGGGCGTGTTCGCCCAGTTTCGGGTCCAAGTGCCCTCGCAGAGCGATCCGACTCGAAAAGTGGCGCAGAAAGATGGGGTCCGGGGCTATGGCCGTGATTTCTCGCGATGTCGCCATTTTTTCGCGTCGGTTTTTCGTCGCTTTCGCCTCTGACGGCCCTTGCTGGGCCCCCGGGCCCATCACAAAAACACGATCGACCCACGAAGCTTGAAAGGATACCGCGAAGCATGGCTACATTTGCAAGACGCCCGACTGGGCGACAGGCAATTGCATTGCTTAAATTATCGATCGTGTTGTACCGTGCCAAGGATTGTGCTGTGCTGTGCCGTGCTGAGACGAGATGTGCCATGCCGCCATTGCGTTGTGCTCTAATAGTGTTATGGGTCAGATCGCCCTGGGCATCCGAATCCCAACCAAACTGATCTGGATCTTAAGCTCGAGCAGCCTGAACGCATAGCTGGCCTGGAACTGGTTGGAGTCGAAACGCGTGGGACGCTCAATCAGCTCGAGCTCGAAACTTGACTCAGTTCCGAAGCGGGACGAGACGTCAGGGAGCGCAGGGCGCAGGGACGCGCCACGGAATATCCAGGGGCGCACGAGGGGATGCGCCAAGGCACGTGGAACTGGATCCGCCACGGAACGGGCAGGGAGGGCGACAGGGGGCAAGCCAGGGAACGCGACAGAGGACGAGCCAGGGGGACGCGCCGAGGGGGGAGGGGTATGCGCCGCCCCGCTTTGGGGCGTCAGGAACCCATGAGTTTTTCACGCTTATCCCGCCCTGGGGCGTTAGGAGCCCGGGTGTTTTCACGCCTGTCCCGCCCTGTGGCGTTAGACGCCCATGTGTTTTCACGCTTGTCCCGCTCGGAGGAGTCAGAAGCCCAGATGGTTTCACGCTTGTCCTGCTCTGGGGCGTTATGAACCCAAGTGTTTTCACGTTTGTCCCACCCTGGGGCGCTAGGAACCCACGCTTGTCCCCCACGTTGGTGCGGACTGCCTCTGCCTCGCCGCCGGCGAAACAGATGTTTTCACGCTTGTCCCGCCCTGGAGCGTTGGAAACCCATGTGCTTTCACGCTTGTCCCGTTCGGAGGGGTCAGAAGCCCAGGTGGTCTCACGCTTGTCCTCCTGTGGGGCGTCAGGAACACAAGTGTGGTCCCGCCTGTCCCGCCCAGGGGCGAGGGAACCAACGTCTGATCACGTTCGTCCTGCTCTGGGACGTTGGCAACCCAAGTGGTTTCACGCTTGTCCTGCTCTGGGGCGTTCGAGGCCCACGTGTTGTCACGCTTGTCCTGCTCTGGGGCGTTGGCAACCCAAGTGGTTTCACGCTCGTCCTGCTCTGGGGCGTTAGGAGCCCACGTGTTTTCACGCTTGTCCCGCCCTGGAGCGTTAGGAGCCGACGTGTTTTGACGCTTGTCCCGCCATGGGGCGTCAGAAACCATATGGTTTCACTCTTGTCCTGCTCTGGGGCGATAGGAATCAACATGTTGTCGAGCTTGTCCCGCTCGGGGGCGTTAGGAGCCCAAATTTTGTCCCGCTTGTCCCGCCCTGGGGCTTTGAGAATCCACTTGGTTTCACGCTTGTCCAGCCCTGGGGATTTGAGAACCCAAGTGGGTTGACGCTTGCCCCGCCCTGGGGCTTTAGGAACCGATCTGTGTTTTTGCTTGTCCCGATCTGGTGCGGTAGGAACCCACGTGTGTCCACGCTTGTCCCGCACTGCAGCGTTAGAAACCCACGCGGTTTGACGCTTACCCCGCCCTGGGGCGTTAGGAACCATGTGTTTTCACGCCTGTCCTGCTCCGAGGCGCAAGGAACCCACGTGTGATCATGTTTGTCCTGCTCTGGGACGTTGGCAACCCACGTGGTTTCACGCCTTGTCCTGCTCTGCGGCGTTCGGGGCCCACGTGTTATCACGCTTGGCCCGCTCTGGGGCGTTGGGAACCGAAGTGTTGAAGTGTTGTCCCGCTTGTCCCGCTCTGGGGCGCTCGCTGGGGCAATCTCTGGGAAAGCGCGCAACAAGCAAAGGATTCGAGCCCCAGGAGAGGAGCAATCTACATGACAAAACAAGCGTTTCGCCTCAACATATTCTGCAACACAAGCGCTTGGCTCGAGACATCCGCAAGAAACGAACATGCTCACTGCACCGCGTACTTTATCGATCGGTATTACATACACGAGAAAAACTGTCGCTCTGGACATCCTCGATGTTTAATCAGCTGGCCCTCTTCAATTCCGTTATGTATCGAGGAGAGAATCGTTGGCCCCCTTCGAATTTGGCACCAGGGACACACGACCATCCTAAACATGGGGACGTGCCATGGGGACGCACCGCGGGACGTACCAAGGGGACGCGCTACGGAACGTGCCAATGGACGTGCCACGGTACGTGCCAGGGGACGCGCCGCGCGAGGTGCCGGGGGGATTCGCCACGGGGCGCACCACGGAGCGTGCCAGGGAACATGCCAGGCGACGCGCCAGGGGACCCCCAGGAAACGCGTCAGAGAACGTGCCGCGGGAGCCAGGATCCCTCGTTGAATTTGCTGCGACCGTGCTTCCCAAGGCCACGATCCATCGTAAATTGTGCTGCAACCACGCTCCCAGGGCCACGGTCTCTCATAAATGATCTGCGTCCGCGCTCCCAGGGCCGCGCTTCCTTGTGAATTACGCTGTGTCCGCGCTCCAATGACCTCGCTCCCTTGTGAATTACTATGTGTCCGCGCTCCCAGGGCCACGATCCCTCGTCAATTACGTTAAGTCCGTTCTCCCGGGGCGCCATGCCACGAAGGCCTTATCAGTTACGCTGTGTCCGCGCTCCCATGGCCTCGCTCCCCTGTGAATTACGATGCGTCCGCGCTCCAAGGGCCATGCTCCCTAGTCAATCACGCTGTGTTCGGGCTCCCAGAACCACCTGGGCATCATGGGGCGCCCAGGCCGCTCAATTTCTGCAAACCATGCATCTCGTTCGAGACATCCTCTGATATTTGGCGCGCAGGGCGCGCCATCCTCGAGCGGGCAAGCAAAAAGTATTGCTAAGGCCTTGCGGCTGGTGCTGCCGATTCTGGACGGCGACCCCCTCGATGGAAGAGGCATTCGGGAAGGTCGGGATCCGACGCTCCCGAGAGTGCCGAAGAGGCCACACTAGGCCCCCCAAAGGTGCCCAAGAACCTAACGAATTTTCCGTAGCCATTTTGGCTCAAGTTTTTGCCCAAGCCGACCAAGCGGTTAGAGCTCCTTGCTAGAAAGAACTCGGCACCGTCATAACTCCACACGTTTCCACTCCCGAGCAACACTCTCTTGATCGCATACGCTATAAAAACTTTCTTCGAGATGGCGCCATTTCGCCTGATGGTGAAGAACACATTCGTTGACGCAGTGAGCTTCCAGCGGGCAGGCTCTGAAGACGAAGGCATGCGCCGGTCCCACTCGTGCCCCTTGCTGGGAGGTTCCCGTTCGAATTCTCGTGATGATTTAGACAGCGGGGGCTCCCCCGCAGTCTGGCCGCTCACTGCTCTGGGCACTTGGGCCGACGTCGTCTCTGACTCCGAGGAGGAGGAGGTGGAAGACCGTCCGTCTTGCTCGTCCTCGTTGGGACTCGGCACCCTGAAATACATTTGCGATCTCAAGCCCGCGCCCAACGCGACCGAGAACACGCCTGTCTCACGCCGCACACCCCTCAGCGGCAAGGCTGCAGCGTTTGTTCCGATCGCTCCGCTCAAGAGGAGGGCTTCGGCGTTCGTTCCCTGGTCGTCGCAGGTAGCTAGCACACCCAAGGATGAACCCGAGTATTTCGGTGATTCGGCTGCTGACATCCTGCGACAGGAATCGACCAAGCCCCAGACGGCTACCACGGTGATGCTGCGCAACCTGCCAATTGGCTTCAGTCGCAGGGCTTTGATTCGGAGTCTGAACATCAACGGGTTTGCAGGGCTCTATGATTTCGTTTACATTCCAATGGACTTCAAGACCAAGCTGTGCTTGCGCTACGGCTTCGTGAACCTTACCGATGGGAAGAACGTGCAGCACTTCATCAACGTCTTTGACGGCTACATGTTTGCTGGCAACGCCGCTTCGCAAGCCTGCAAGGTCCTCCTGTCCCAGACGCAGGGCCTGGCGGCGAACATCGATCGCTACCGGAACAGCCCTGTGATGCGCGAAGAGGTACCCGAACTTTTTAAACCGGCCCTGTTCGCTGGCGGCCAGCAGATACCGTTCCCTGCTCCCACCAAGGAGTTGCCGCATATTCATTACAGAGTCAACCGGTGACCCTATCGCTCAGTAGTCCAGTCGAACGGTACATATCGTTTGACGCACATTTTAATCCGGACTCGAGAGGAAAGCTCCTCATGCCCTGCCGCCTCGCTCTGCCCTGTGGCCAGAAGAACTGACATGCCTGCCAATGCAGGGCCCGCGCTCCTCTCCCTCCCTCTTTGACTTCTCGCTCCGCGTATCCCCACCAGCCTGTCCTCCTCCTCCTCCTCCTCCTCCTCCTCGACCTGCGGGGGCCTGTGCGTGAAACAGGTGTTTCCACCAGGTGGTATCTGCGGCCGCAGGCCACACGGGCGGCTGCGAGTCAGAGGTGCCGCAGGAAAACGGATCGTGACGCCACGCCGTCCTGGCCGGCTGCGCGGGCGATGTGGCGGCCGGCCGATCGCGGCGTGCCTACCTGTGCAGTCCGCTGCCTCCGCGTTCCTCGGTCGTCCTGCTCGTCGTCCGTCCCTCCCCCCTCCTTGCCTCCTCCGCCTTCGTCCTCTCTCCTCCTGCGTCCTCCTCCTCCCCCTCCGGCCCGTGGGGGGCCCATGTCCAGGCTTGACGGCCTCCGCGAGCGCTGGGCGCGGCAAGACTGCAAGTGCGCCGATCTTTGTCTGCCTCGGAATCTTTGTAGGCCTCCTCCCATGCTTCTCGGCCTGTGGGGGCCGGCGCGTGAAGCAGGTGTTTCCGCCAGGTGGTATTTGCGGCCGCAGGCCGCACGGGCGGCTGTGAGTCAGAGATGCCGCAAGAAATTGTATCGTGCCATGCCGTCCTGGCCAGCTGCGCGGGATGGGTCTGCCTCGGATTGTTTTCTAGCAGATGGGTAGGGATCGTTTGTCGCGTCGCGGGCGAGCGGGGGGGCGGAAGAAAAAACGACAGTAGGTTTTGCGACTCCAGTTCTGGGCTCGCGCTAATCGCACTATTGTCAGCGGCTGCCTGCTATACAGGGCTTCTGATACTTCTGTGCGTAATGCGCGCCAGTTTGTACTACTTTCGTTGGGTGTCCCTTTTCCGGGGCTTCTGAGTCTTTTGTGCAAGGCTCGCGCCAATTTGCACCACTCTCAGTGGCTGTCTGTCTTACAGGGCTGCTGAGACTTCTGTGCATGGCTTGTGCCTGGTTGCACCACCCTCAGGGGCTGTCCGGCAGCATTTGGTTGCCACTCAAGCCACCGCTTTGAAGCTGCCGAGTGGGTCCTATCCTCCAGCATGCTTGTGCTGCGGATTGCTGGCTCCCAGCTGTGAGGCGTTCGTCCACCCAAAGAACCTAACGAATTTTTGACATCCTTGAGCTTCCTGGCGGTTCTTTGGGGGCGCCCAGGGGCCTCGTATGGGCTGGGGGCATCTGACACCGAAAGCTCGTAGGGTCTTCAGTCTGGGCACCCTGTTGGGGCCGTCTTTGGGCTTTTGGGGCCGTCTTGGAGGCCTTTTGGGCAGTCTTGGGGCTGTCTGGAGTCTCCCTGGGGCGCTGTTCGACGCCTGTTGGGCTATCGTGTGGCGTCATTGGCGGCGTCTGGGGCGGGTAGGAGCGTCGCGAAGCGGAGACAGCAAGAACGCCAGAATGAATCAAATCGTTTTGGAAATCAGCGAATTTTGGGTCTCGGGGCTCGTTTGGGAGAGCTTTTTGAGGTTTTGGGGTGCGTCTTGGGCACTTATTGGGCCGTCTGGAGGCTGTTGTGGCGTCTTGGACCGATCGTTTTCGGATTCGGTGCCCCTTTGCGGCGTCTTGGCGGTTTTCTGGGCCCCGGGACCGCTTGGGGTGGATGCGTACGTACCTGGGTGGCGACCCCCTCCCGGGACTCTCCTGGGACCCCCCCTTCCCCCACGGGGAAGGGATCAAAGGGAGGAGGCTTCCCTTCCGACGATGTTGGCGCTTGTCTGGGTCATTGTTTGGCAAATTTCACGGCCTCCACACTTAGTGTCTTATTGTGGATTCTGCGCAAAACGTTCTGCACCCCTTAGTTTTTTTACGGGAGGAAGCGTGTGTCTGTTTACCAAGTGTTTGTTCAAGGATCCGAGATAGGGGGCGCATTTTCTTCGAGCGGGCCCGCGCAAAGTTCATCTTGTTGAACAATTCCGATGTTACTTCGTGATCTATCGTAAATTATTCCGCAGGCCTCCTTCACGTCGAGCCCGCGGGGTAAACATCTAGAAGAGAATCCTGGGCCGGCGCCCGTTCCGGGAAAAGAGGACTCTGGGCCGAAGCCCTCTCCAGGAACTGCTCAGGACGAGAAGCCGGCCCTGGGCAAGGGGTTGGGACTTCTGGGGCCCCTCTTTTGGAAAACGTGACGAACCAACAACACACACCCATACCCATAGGGGGATCGGAGAGAGCTATGGGTACGTGTTGTCGGATGGGGGTCCCCGCTCGAACGGGAGCGTTCCCCAGGGTCCGACAACCCGCACCCATACCCATAGCCAGTCCTCCTCCCAACGACCCCCCTATGGGTATGGGTGCGCGTTGTTCGTTCGTCGAAACGATTCAGACGTCGGAGGTCTGGGTCCCCAGGCGGAGCGCCCGGAGGCGGAGGCCGAGCGGTCGAGCGGCCTGCTGGAGGGGAGGACGGCGCTGCTGGGGCAGCCGCAGGCCGCGCAGCGGCGCGACGAGCGCTGGTCGAGGAAGAAGCAGCGGCTCGTCACCAGCCTCGAACGCATCCCTGTCCCAAAGACTGACCCGCCAAAAGGCGATGCCAATCTCAGGGAGGCGCCCCGAAAAACGAAGGGAGTCCCTGAGATTGGCATTGTGCTGAGGCGATGCCCAGCATAGGGATAGGGGTATGTTCCAGGCTGGTACGCTCGGGCGTGAAGTCTCGGAGGTCCGCGCGGATATCTCGCAGCTGCGCCGGGCCCCCCTGGCGGGGCCGCCGCTGGCGCGCGCTCCGCGCGACGGGGAGGGGGGTCGAGCGCCGAGCCGAGACGTGCACGCGGACATTTGAGAGTGCACGCGGCCATTGGAGACATTCGACGTCTTGATGTTTTTCAATGCGGGGTCCCTGGAAGTCTCGATGCCTTTCCCAGGACCGGCTTTTTTCATCCTGAGTCGTTTCTTTGAGGCGCCCAGGGCCCGGCGAGGGCCCCCAGATGCCGAAACGGTGAAAAACCCTCGTGTTGTTTTTTCAATGCGTCAGAGATCTGGGTTGCAATACTATTTGTCTTCACCGGCGCCAGCAATCTGACCCGCTGGGATCGCAGGCGAGAGCCCTGTTGGGATCGGCGCAGGCGTTGCTGAGGGGATAGTCGAGTTATCCGTAGATGCCACGGTGGGTAATGTCTGGCCGAGCCTAGCGTACAAGCGGGCTAGAAGTGCCCAGGATGGCTTGGGGGGGGTACTCGGCATCCTTTGGACGTGTGCATTTTTTCGGTGAGGACCATCGAGGAGCATCCTGGATCGGTTCGCGAGAAAACGCGCACGACATCGAAACATGCACAGGGAATGGACGTCCGAGCGATGACCAGAGTGAACGATCCAGCCTAAGTTGGCTTCGCCCACTTAGCACCCCCCTTCAGCCACATAGGGCAGTCGTAACCCACTTGTGAGCTAGGTCAGGCCAAGCATGGCGCGCTCCAGACTGGCCATTGCCCGCGAGGGCTGAAGGAGTTGCCATCTCTTCCGCGGCGAAAAGGCCGACGGAAGCCGGTGGCAGTAACACGTGGGCGGCGCTGCCGGCGGAAGGCCAGCCGAAGCTGGCAGAAGCAACATGTGTGCACCGCCCAGGGACAGCAAGGCTTCCTGGTTCGGGCTTATTGGGTCCCGCCATACAGCCCACCGTGGCGTCCACTGATGACTCCCCCAGAAGGTCGCACCGAAGTATGAGATCGAGGTCGGCTCGGGGAGGGTAGCCCCATGTTCTTCGCGTCTGTTGGATGTTCTTGTGCATCCTGGGGCAAGGTACCCTCGAGTGAACTTCCGCTCTGGGGTGTTCTGGCCGGCGGAGAGTCTCATGTTATGGAGGGATGTTCTACTGTTCTGCACGATCGAAATGGGCACGGAAAGAATGGGTACAATGCCCAACAGCAGTTCCTCTTCATTTTGCACAGGACTCGCTGTCCGCGCCGCCGCGGCCCTTGTCCATTCGAGGCAGAAGGCCGCCAGCCCAGCAGCGGCCGCTGTTGGTTTGGGACAACATTTGTTCTTGGGCATTGTACTCATCTTTTCCGTACCCATTTCAGGCCAGCCACAACTGGGGGAGCTGTCGTCCTTACCCCCCTGGGGGGCCCATCGATTTCGACACCCCTCTCGAGAGATCGTCGAGGCGAGGGGTTCCCCCAGGGGGGTAAGGAGCAGAGCTCCCCCAGTTGTGGCTGGTCCGCATTTCGGGCGTCCAAAGGGTTGTTCTATTGTCCTGGGTCCGGCCGTCTCCCCGCCGAGCGACCCCCGCTCCGATATCCCAGCAGGCCGAGGCCAGCGCCCTGCCCTGCGAGCTCGAGGGCCCGCGCGCGGGGGCGCAGGGGCGCGAGCCGCGGGAGGAGGCCCTCGTCGAGGCCGCCCGCGGGGCACCCGGGGCCCGACGCTCGGCATCGCTCGGACGTGTGCTTTTTTTTCCGGCGAGAGCCATCGAGGACCATCCTGGACCATCGAGCCAAAAAATCACGCGCGAGACCGAAACGTGCACGGGAAATGGACGTCCGAGCGGACAAGGACGAGCGAGCAGCACACGCCCCCACCCGTGGGGGGGGGGACGGAGGAGGCTATATGGGCGCGTGTTCTCGGACGGGGCTCCCCGCTCGAACGGGAGCCTCCCCCGCGGTCCGACAGTCCGCCTCCCGCCGTCCCCCTTCTGGGTACAAATTTTGCTCATTTCTAAGTCTTCGGGAGTTCTTTGATTATTTTGGGGGCCAAGATCCTGTCATATCTAATTCTTCTATCCTGGGCCTCTTCCTGGACACACTTAGAAACGAACAAACACACTTAGAAACGAGCACGATTGGACATGAACGACGTGCACGGGTGTATGCTGTCCGCTCGTCCAGCCAACGGCGGCCTGAGGCCGCCTGGGGCTCTGGCCGTGACGTTTCGCGAGGCCGCCGGCCTCGCGAAGCGTCACGACCAGAGCCCCTCGCTTAAGAGTAATTTCGGCGCGCTGGAGAGCAAGTTGGCAAGAAAAATCTCGACGGAACTTTTGCTGACTTTTGGTCGATTGACATTTTTTTTCTCGAAATTTGAACATTCGTTGGAGCCAACTGGCCCTCCCCGCGGCGCGCCGAGGGGAGGGGAGGCAGGGCGGGCCGGCCTCCTCGGCAGGCGGTGTGGCTTCAGGGCCCCCCAGGCCTCCTGAGAAGTCCCCATGTGGCCTCGGGGGATGCTCCGAGAGCTTCTCGAAGGGCAGAGGCCCTCCCGAGGTCCGACGCGGCGAGTCCCATGCACCGGCGCGAGAAGTCCCGACCAGGAGACTGTTGTGTTTGTATCCTCTAGCGCGTAGCGGTCGCTGTGCGGGCCAGGCCCCCGCCAACACCCGCCGGGTAACGGCATCGGTCGTACGTGGAGGGGGGGGGGGGCTGAACCTTTCCCCCACATGCTGGCGATCGCGCGCATAGTATGGCGACTGCAGCTTGCCCCCGCCCCGACGTGCCCCGCGTTAACGTCACCCGGGGCCCTGACCCCACCCACCCACCTCAATGGTAACGACCGTTACCACAAGTAATCAACAACAAAAATAACGGCCCAGGCCCCCAGCCCCATCTTTCTTCGCCATTTTCCGAGCCAGATCGATCCGTGAAGCTCCCAGGACCAGGCGCAAACGCTCGGCTAGAAAGCACAGGATCGACCCACGAACCTTGAATGGGATGTAGAACTGTGAAGCATGCCATCGTTTCCTAGACGTCGAACTTGGGCGACGGGCAATTACAGTGTTCAGAGTAACGATCGTGATGTACCGTGCCACGGGCTGTGTTGTGCTGCGCCGTGCTGTGCTGAGTTCAGCGTGTCGCGCCGCGTTGAACCGTGCCGCGCCCTACTGCACTGTCGATCAAGCCATCCTTGGCGTCAGAATCGTGGCCGAACTGATTTGGATCTGAAGCTCGAACTGCCTGAACGCATAGCTCGGGCTGGTTCTGGTCGAGACTCGTGGGGCGCTCGACCAGCTCGAGTTCAAGATCCGATTCAGTTCCAAAGTCATTGCCCGAGACATTCAGTTCCGCAACGGAGCGAGCCGAGCGCGACCACGACAGGCGGGGGAGAAACATGCGGGGCGTTCAACCAGCTCGAATTCAAGATCCGATGCAGCTCCGAAGTGGGAGGAGCCGATCCAGGGGCGAATCCGAACCGAAACGAAAAGCACCTAGACGACGACAAGGCCCCCGCTCGACGCCTCCTCAGACCACGGAGGAACCAGCGTTTCGCGAGAGACATCTTCAGCGCATCCTGCAGATGAGGGCCCTCCGCTGCAGGCGAGGACCTCGCTCGAGGCATCCTCGGCAGATCCTGCCGGGCGAGCGTCTCGCCCCAGACATCCGCAGCGCATGCTCATCTTGACGAGCCGCTTGGGCGGCCCGGGCGCGCAGAGGCCCGCGCTGCGCTCGAAGCACCCTCATAGCAGGCCTAGAACGAAGGATTGCAAAAAAACCCTTCCTTGAACGAAGGATTGCAAAAAAACCCTTCGCTCCTTCGGTTTTTTTTGCAATCCTTCGCTCGAAGCACCCTCATAGCAGGCCTAGAGTTCTGCCGGGCCTGTCCCGGGGACTATTCCAAATAGTGCAAGATGATCAAAAAATAGTCTGGGGACTATTCAAAAATAGTCTGGGCCTGTCCCGCTACAGGGGGGAGATTCAAAAACAGACCAAAAAAACAGTCTGGGACATGTTTTTCCACCATGCTTTGATTATGCTGGAGTATTTTCCGGGTATTCTTTGGATTTTGCGCGCAAAATCCCCTTGCAGGAGGACAGGCCCGACTTGAGCCGACAGGTTGACACCGACACCAATCTCGGCGGTGTGCCTCCCCCCCGGCGGAAGGAGATCCCGACCTCGGTGATGGTGGTAACAGGCTGGTTTCCAAGGTGTCCGAAAGATGTCCGCCGGCACCGAAATCTGGGATCATTAGGGGTCCACAGGCGAATCCTACCCCTACCCCCCACGATTTCTGAGAGGGAGGGTGGGGTTCACTTCGGGAGCTCCCGAGCGAAGTGAACCCCACCCTGCCCCTCAAAAATCGTGAGGGGTAGGGGTAGGGTTCGCATGCGGCCCCCGGATCGTCGTCCCCCTGTGGAGGCAGCCCCCTGTGGTGGTGTTGGTGCCCACCTCCAGGCCTCCAACCTCAACACGTCTTCACGGTCCAGCTCCGCCTGGGCAATGTGGAGCAGGCGTGGAGACAAGTCTTCCGTCGGCGGCGAGGCCGAGGCGGTCCGCACCAGCGAGCGGCGACTCGGGGCAACCGAGTGGCGCATTGGCCAGCGCGCAAGAGCGGGGGGACAAGGCAGGCAGACAGGGCGGCCGCAGAGGGAGGGAAGGGAAGAGGGCGTGGAAGAATTCCACCACGAGCGCGCTGGCGCGGCCAGCAGCGGTAAGGGGCGCGCGCCAGCGCGGAGCAAGCGCGACCACACTCGGGGGAGCGTAAGACCCGGGTTTGCCAGGACTCGGGTTCGCCATCGTTTTTTGACGACCGCGCCTCGGATTTTGACGAGGAGGAGTTTCGTGGGATGTTTGCAGCGGGAGGCCTCGTCAAAATGCAGGCTCGGCCTCGTCATTTTTTTGACGACCTCGTCGGGGATTTCCGAGTCCCCCGTACCCGGGTCTTACGTCTCCCCGACACACGTGGGACCTTCCCGCGCCAGAGAGGAACAGACGTGAAAGCACGCGCGCCCTGTTCGCCCCAGAGCGGCGTGCACGTGAAACAAACACATGGGTCCAAGGGCTCCCTCGAGGGCGCGAAGTTATTCGCGCTTCGCGCTTCGCGGTCCTCGTTCCTTCTCCCCCTCCTCCTCGTCCTCCTATTCTCCCTTTGGGAGGGCGGCGCGAGAGCGCGAAGTTATTCGCGCTTCGCGCTTCGCGCAGCGCGAAGCGCGAAGTTGGGAGGCCTAGTGGGTCCCGGTCGCCCCAGAGCGGCGCAAAGCGCGAACAGACGCGGGCCCCCTCCGGGAGGCCCCCGGGAGGCCTCCCCGGAGCCCCAAGGCGGAACGTGTCGAGAGGTGATCTGCAGACGCGGCCGATTCTTTGAGTTTGCGGTGCTGGTGTGCCCTCCCCCACGTGCGGGAGGGGGAGGCCGCCCCCGGGTGGCCAGAGCGCGTGACAACGCGTGGGCCCCCTTTCGACCCAGAGCGCAGCAGGTGTGAAGTCACGTGGGCCCCCTCCGCCCCAGAGCGCAGCAAGCGTGAAAACACGAGGGTCCTTTTCGCCCCAGAGCGCAGCAAGCGTGAAGTCACGAGGGTCCTTTTCGCCCCAGAGCGCAGCAAGCGTGAAGTCACGTGGGCCCCTTTTCCGCCCCTGTGCGCAGCAAGCGTGCAAACACGAGGGTCCTTTTCGCCCCAGGGCGCAGGCAAGCGTGAAGCCATGTGGGTCCCTTTCGCCCAAGTGCGCAGCAAGCGTGACAACAGGTAGGTCCCTTGCGCCCCAGAGCGGAACAAGCGTGCAAACACGTGGGTGCATTTCGCCCCGGAGCGCATCATGCGTGAAGACACATGGGTTCCTTTCGCCCCAGAGCGGAGCAAGCACGCTCCATCCTAGCAGACGGGCATTGTGCACGACCTCCTTAAGAGGTGCACTGGCTGCTCAACCCGATATTTTGGAGAGACTGGTGGAGAGGAGGGACCTGTGGTTAAGACCGGCTTCGAACGCCTCCTTCATCAGCGGGCCTGCCAGGCGCGTGACCCGGGTGTCGGCATGGTGCCGCCTCCGCCCGATTCGGCCGAGCGTTCTTGTTTCTTCAGCGCCTCGTTCGTCAAGAACGGCCACGCTGTCATCGGGAAGCTGCCGGAAGCACTCTAGGACAACTCGCCGACACTGCGGTGATCTCTCCTCCAAGTGCACAATCACGCGCGTGCGTGTTCCGAACCACGGCATGCACACAGGGCAATGTCCGGTGTCAGTGAGAGCTCGAATTTTCCTGCACACTCCATGCAGAGTGAAAGCATGGGTGGCCAATTGTTGTTGCGTGCTGCACATATACACACAGCTCGAGCATTTATACTCGGCGTCTATTTCGGCCATCTGGCGGGTCCGCGCCCGGGCCTGCACAGAATTGACCGCTCTCTCCCCTTTCGCTTTTCTGAGGGCCGCACGGAATCGTCTGGGGTTGTCGCAGACGACAAAAACCCACTCAGCAACCGTTTTCCGCCCCAACTCTGAGAAAGCACCAGCGCGTTCAGACAACATGTCGAGGTCTTCGGCCACAGCCGTCATCCATAAGCGACGCACGCCTACTGTGCGGAAAAGAAAAACAACGCAAAGCGCTAGAGGGCCATTCAAGCACACTCTGCTGAACAAGCACAGCATCATGCACAAGATCATGATGGCCGGAGTTATGACATCATCATGTGACGCAACAACAGCGTGGGATGAGGCACGGACGCCGTCCTGGCTGGAACGGAAAACGTTGGAATATGTTTGCGTTACGGCAGTGTGTACGCGAGTGAAGTCATTGGCGTATAGCTGTGGTCAAGTTCCAGCCTGATGCAAGCCCCGTGTAAACAGATGCCCTGGCAGAGCGCCATCCGCGTCTCAGTTGGCACAGATTCCCGGTGCAAGATACTGTGGCGAACCTGCTTTAAGGTCGAAGTCATGGCCCCGATCTTAGCGGTGATTTAAGGCTGCATGGTGTCCGTAGAACAGGTCAAAGTCCCCACATGTTTGTATTGGGATGCCGCCACGAGCCGGCGGTCCGCCCCGAGCGAAGAGAAAACAATGATGCCATCACCGTCTCGGAGCAGGCGGCTTCGCGCCTCGACAGATCCTGGGCCAGCAATGCGAAACACAGCTTCCGTCTTACCTTTCTTGAAGGTGTTGTGAGGCCAACACGTGAAAATACATCGATGAACATGCAAGCGCCTATTCTCATCTGTCCAACAAGGTCGCACGCATGCGCGATCAAAGGCTGAACAACGTCGTCAACGTACCCAGCGGGCCCCAGCTTCACGGAGGGGGGGAGGGAGGAGGGACGAGGAGGGGGAGGAACAAGGGGGACAGGGAGGAGAGGCGGAAGGGCAGGCGAGGGGGGAGCGCAGGAGGAGGACGAGAAGCGAGAGGGAGGAGTGGGAGTGGGCCCATCAGTGTGACACCACAGCCGAAATCCGGCAGAAGGGCATCAACTGGGCCTCCTCCTCCTCCCGCCTCCTCCCCCGCCGAGGCCACTCGCCCTCGCCTCGCCGCCGAGCCAGCGGCGGCCGACGAGGGCGCGCTGCTCTGCAGCGAGTTCGAGGCGCAGGTCGGGGCGCTACAGGAAGCCGCGCGGCGGCGCGGCGCGCAGCTGCGGCACGGCCAGGAATCGCGGGCGACGCGTGTGTACTTTACCGCGCCGGCGCCCCCGACGATATGATTTTGTCATTCCGGGCGGGATCCTAGAGTTTGGCATCCGTGGCCCGTTTTCGGCGTCTAGAAGCTCTATTCTTTGATTGGGAGCTTCCAGAAAGTAGACTAGGAGGCTCTCCAATCCTCCTCCTCCCGCCTCCTCCTCCTCCCGCCTCCTCCGCCCTCCTCCTCCTCCTTCTACTCCTCCTCCTCCTCCTCCTCCTCCTCCTGGTCGTCCAGGCTTCTGGGGCCCGTGTTCGGTGTCTGGAGGTCCTCGGCTGGCCCTGGGGCAATCAAAAGCTGATCGGGGGCGAAAGTCTACCCCCAGGAAAGGGGTCGGGACCTTCCTGGGGCCGCGCATTGGAAAAGTCCCCCCCCCCCCCTGAGATCCTGGCGACTCATATTTTTGTTGAACTGGGCGTTTTCGCCAATTTCGGGCCCCGGGACACTCCCGGAACGATCCGGCCCGAAGAATGGCGCAGAAAAATGAGGTCTGGGGGCTCCCGTCGTGTTTTTTCCACGTTACAGAATTGTCGCGTTGTCGGATCTCAGGGTGTCCCGAGGCGTCGTCGATCCTCGACGCAGGAATTGTACAGTGCGTAGCTTCTCGAACCCTCGGAATCGCACAAGGTATACACCGTGCCGCGTTGGAGCGGGGCCTGGGAGTCCGAACGTGGTACGGTTCACAGGGCGCCGTTCTCGTACAGGAGGCGGCGTCGCGGGTCGCGGAGGCCAGCTCGGGGGGGACCGCTGGGGGGAGAGGCTCAGGGGGGAGCGCTCAGAGGAGAAGGCACCGATGCCGCTCCCCTTGCCCCGTTTTCGCTCTTTTGGGCCTCATAGGGGGCCCTCGTCGCCACCGCTGGATTCGGCAGAGGGCCAGGGAGCAACGCGATCGGCACCGATATCCCCAAATCCACCGGCCCCCAATTGCCCTTGCATCGCCAATGGAGGCGGCACTGCACCAGCAGCACCTGGAGGACACGCCCGCTGAGCATAGTCGCGTCGTCCAGGAGCTGCGGTGCGAGCTGGACCGGTGCGGTGCGCACGGCGTTCTGCAGCGGGCACGCCTGGAGTACCTGGAGGCCATCCTGACTCGGGAGGCGCCGCAGCACTCTCGGGTCGGGGACCTGGAGCGCGAGCTGGAGCGGGATCGCGAGGAGGGCGTTCGGCAGCGCGCGCGCCTCGCTGAGCTGGAGGATCTGCTGGCCGAGCAGAGCCAAGAGGATGGGAGGCATCGAGACCGCATTGCGGAGGAGGGCCAGTCGAGGCAGCGGCGGCTCGCCCGCCCGGCCCACATCCGCTCGAAGTCAGTCCCCGGACCCCTCCGGGGCATCGTTCCCTACACGTGGGGCCCATCCTGACCCGTGGTTCGAGGCGGATCCGACCGTGGCGTCGAGAAGCTCCCGGGCGAGCAATAAGGCCAGGGATGGCCCTGCCACTGAGATCCGACGAGGGGAACACATCGCAAAATCGCGAAACCTCACCACAGCAGCCTCAAGACCCCATATCTTTCTGCTCCATGTCCCACACCCCCGCTCGAGGGCCCCGGGGGCCGGAGCCGGGCGAAAACGGCCCGGCTCGACCACCTATGGAGACGCCAAGACCGATCGGGAGCGCTTGGGAGCGCCTGGGAGCGCGTGGGAACGCCCCTAGGAGCTCCTGCGAGCGCCTGGGAGCGCGTGGAACCGCCAATAGGAGCTCCTGGGAACGCCTGGGAGCGCCGGGGAGCGCTTGGCAGCGCATGGGAGCTCCTTCGAGCGCCGAGGAGCGTTGGGGAGCGCCTGGGGGGGCGCCTGCCTGCGCTTCCGCGCGCGCCAGGGGCACGGCGCCTTCCTGGGATGTCCCCTGCGGGGATCGGCCGGCTCTGGCGCGGCCTCGACGGGCCCCCCCCCGAGCATGGGCGCGCCCGAGCTGGAGTGGGAGCGGCTGCGCCGGCAGGCGCCCCTCCTGGAGGGCGCGAGCGCCGAGGGGGGGGGTCCGCAGCAGGCCCCGCCGCAGCCGGCCCCGCCGCAGCAGCCGCTGGAGCGGCAGGCCAGGCAGGAGGCGCTGCGGCACCACCATGCCAGATGGAGGAGAGGGAGGGGGAGGAGGAGGGGGAGGAGAAGGAGGAGGGGGGAGGAGGAGGAGGAGGGAGGAGGAGAGGAAAACATGGAGGAGGGAGGAGGAGGAGGAGGAGGAAGGAGGAGGAGGAGGAGGAGGAGGAGGAGGAGGAGGAGGAGGGAGGAGGAGGAGGAAGGAGGAGGAGGAAGGAGGAGGAGGAGGGAGGAGGCGGAGGAGGAGGAGGACTAGGAGGAGGAGGAGGAGGAGAACCTCCTCATCCTCCCTTCTCCCCCGTCCCAATTGCATGTGGTAGTGGTGGTGGACAGGTTGCCCATCAACAGTGGTGGGTCCTTCCAGGGCAAGGGTACCCTGGTGCCCTGTGCTTAGCGACCCCTGCCTTCCGCATTCCAATGGCAAAGTGGTCCTCGAAGGGGTCTTGTGTCCTCTCTCTCGTCCTCTCCAGCCAGCCCCGACTGTACATGAATCCACGTTGGTTTCAAAATTACGCGTTTTGCGCGAAAGTTCGTGTCACGAGGCTGGTCTCGCGGACTGGGGGGGCGTATCCATGGACGTGGTTGCGCGCGTACGTCCTTTGCGGGCTCCCGGGAGATCCGGCGCAGTGAACAAAATCAAGTCGGAGATGTTTCTCCGTTTTCGGCGTGCGGAGGCCCTCGGCTGTCCCCGGGGCCGCCAAAGATCGGGATGAGAAGCTGGTCCCCGGGAGCGGGTCGAGACTTCTGGGGACCCCGTGCTGAACAAATCCAGACATCGGATCTTTGGGGAGGATCTGGGCGGCGCGAACGGGAGGCGTCCCCTGAGACCCTGGCATCCAATTTTTTTCGAGCGGGGCGTTTTCGCCTAGTTTCGGGCCCCGAGACACTGACGGATCGACCTGGCCCGAAAAATTGCGCAGCCCAATCGTGACATATTACGATGTTGTAGTTTTTTCGCTACGTCGGATCTCAGGGTTGATCCTGCAGGCCAGCGTCTGTCAGCTCGACGAGCCGCAGTTGCGGGAGCTGCTGCAGCTGGAGCTGGCGCAGCGGGCGCGGCTCCAGGAGCTCGTGGGCGAGGAGTGTTCGGGGGTTTGCTGAAGGTGCCCTTGGCCCGAAGTGCCCCCAGCTTTTCGTTCGATTGTTGAGCCCTTTGAGTCCTCTGGGCCTCGTGAGAGGTGCTCTGAAGGCCGTGGGGGCCTCCTTGGAACTGCTCGGGGCACCTCGGGCCAGGGGCACTTCTAAGCTCGGTATCGTTTAACCGATCCCCATCCCCATCCCCATCCTCTTCGAGACCCCCACTAAATTACCCCCCAGTTGGAGGTACACCCCTCGAAACCCGAAGGGAACGCCCTGTATCACCATCTAGGGGGGGGGGGTAATCGGTCAGTGGCGGCCCAGGCCACGCCGCTGGCGATGGGGATCGGATAAACAATACTCATAAAGCAGCACCCGAGCTGTGAAGGGAGCGGGGGGGGGGCGGGAAGGCCAAGGGAGCAGCTTGGAGCGAGGAGCGGGCACGGGAGGCGGCCAGCAGAGAGGTTACAAGATCAGATGCGTGGTTCGAGAGGTTGGGGCCGCTGAGGGCCTGAGAGGAGGAGGAGGAGGAGGAGGAGGAGAAGGAGGAGGAGGAGGAGGAGGAGGAGGAGGGAGTAAGGAGGAGGAGGAGGAGAGGGAGGAGGAGAGGGGAGATGGAGGCGGAGGAAGGGGAGAGATTGGAGGCGGAGGAGAAGGGGCAAGATGGAGGGGGAGAGGAGGAGGAGGAGGAGGGAGAGAAGGGAGGAGGAGGAGGAGGAGGGGAGGAGGAGGAGGAGGAAAAGAGATTCACCAGCTTGGATGCGGGCTCGAGGAGGGCCGTGGGCGCAGAGCACGTCCGTGCCCTCGGCCTCGCGGGCGGGATCCTTGGGCCACCACCCCGCGGATACGGGGCGCTCTTTCGCGGATGCCTCGCGCGGAACGTTCCGCGGGAGCGCGCCCCGGGATCCGGGCCGCGAGGGCGCGGATGTGGACATGTTCGCCGTCCGCGAGGAGCCGGATGGCGTCGCGGAGCAGAGGCTGCTCTCGCAGGAGGCGGCGCAGCAGGCCCGCGCAGAGGAGCTGGCGCTCGAGCTGGAGCGCCGGTCGGCGAAGGACGCGGCGCAGCATGCCCGCACCGAGGAGCTGGAGCGGGCACTGGAGCTCAGGGGAGGGCAGGGTACCTGAAAGAGCGCTTGCTGACGCTGCCGGCCGGGGGGGGCTCAAGCCGCTCCGCCTCCGCAGATGATTGTGGGGGTGTTCCAGGACACCCTTCAGGCGGCGACGACGACGACGACGACGACGACGACGACGGCGACGGCGACGGCGACGGCGACGGCGACGGCGACGATGGCGAACGGAAACGGCGACGGCGACGGCGACGGCGACGGCGACGGCGACGACGACGACGACGACGACGACGCGACGACGGCGGCGGCGATCACCGACGACGACTACGGCAACGGCGGCGGCGACGACGACGGCGACGGCGGCGGCGGCGGCGATGAAGGTGGCGGTGGTGGGCGTCACCTCATTGGGTCTGGCTGTTGCCCGTGGTGGATGTGAGTTAGTTATTTGGGGTTCTGGTCTGGCACACTGTGGCGACGACGACGAGGAGGAGGAGGAGCAGGAAGAGGAGGAGGAGCAGGAAGAGGAGGAGGAGGAGGAGGAGGAGGACGAGGACGAGGAGGAGGAGGAGGAGGAGGAGGAGGAGGAGGAGCAGGAAGAGGAGGAGGAGGAGCAGGAGGACGACGACGGCGAAGGCGACGGCGACGGCGACGGCGACGGCGACGACTTGAGGGTTCGTTACCCCCCCCTTGCGCGGGGGGTGAGGTCTGGATCTCCCGGTTCTTCGGGGGGGTGAGGGGGGGGCCCCCCAGGGTGAGGGGGGGATGGTCCCCCAGTTTTTTCAGTCCAGCGACTGTGGATCGCGCTCCCTCCACGGTACCGATACGGCTAAATACTGGAATCTGCGCGGGGGTCGCTAAGGGGAAAGGTTTTCATACGTGTTCAAAGGTTTCAAACGTTTTCGTGGAGGTTTTCGCGCCTCGGAATGCTTTCCAACAGCTGGCCTGGATACAACTGGGACCAGCGCGGCTGGTGCTAAGTGGATGAGGGACTATCAGTGGATGGATGCCAAGGTGGGTTATATATGGCCTGAGTTGGCTCATAAGGGGGTTGCATGTGCCCCACGTGGCGTAGGGGATTTAACGATCGGTGCCACAAGTGGGCTGCGCGCACTTAGCGGAGTCCTCTAACACTCTTTAGCCTCTGCGCTGCGCACGCGGGTTGTACGCTGCGCACTTCGGGAGATGCCGTTGGAATAGCGGCGTCGGTACGGACATCCGCCGATCTGATTTTGTCAATCCGCGGCCCCAGAGGTCCCGACCCCTTCCATGGGGGTAGGCTTCTGTCCCAGACTCAGTTTCGATGGCCCGCGGGGCCCGACAACGGGCCCCGGAGGCCGAAATCGAGGACAAACGCCAGGACTGAAATCGGGGGTTGCTAGAAGTGCCCCTGGCCCAAGGTGCCCCTAGGATTCTCGGGGTGGCCCGGACGGCCTCCAGAGCACACCTCACGAGGCCCAGAAGGCCCCAATGGCTCCAAAATGTTGCGAAAAGCCGGGGGCACCTTGGACCAGGGGCACTTCTAGCAACCCCCGATGAAAGGCAAAATCGTTGGAGATCTGCCCTGTGGTTTCCTCCCAGGAGCAGGCGCTGCGGAGGGAGGAGGCGCAGCAGGCCCGCGCTGCGCGGCTGGAGGACCGGCTGCACGAGAGCAGCGGGCCGCGGCTGCTGCGGTGCGAGGAACGGCGGCACGCCCTGGGGGAAGGGCCTCACAGTCGGGGCGCTGAAGAAGGAAACCTTTTCGTTGGGGAGGGTCTCGGTGTTCCTTGAATGTTTCACAGTTTTCCCCAGGTTTTCCTGAGGTTTTCCAGGGGAAATCGAGGTTGAACTTATGGGAAACAGGGGCCTCGTTCCTTATTTAGGGTTCCTTAGGTCAACGCCCCGACTGTAAGTCGAGCCTGTCCCCCTACAGGGGGAATATCCAAGATTAGTCGAGAAATAGTCGGGGGACTATGTTTTGAGTATTTGGGGGGGCATCTTTTAGGTACTTGTCTGGCATCTCTTTTCTATTTCGTCCAATATCCTCATGTAGGGGGACAGGCCCGACCTACGGGAAGGGAGAGGGGGCCGCGCCTTCTCCCTGAGATCTTGGCCGGGCGCTGTCGCTCCCGCTTCGGGCCTCGGGTCGGTGCGGCTCGAACAAGAGCGGCGCGGGAAGCTGGGGTCTCGGGGTTCGGGTCGTGATGTCCCGCGACGTGGCCGCTGTTTTCTCGCCACGTCGGATCACAGAGCTCGGAAGGCTCTCGAGACCTCCGCCCTGTCAGAGGCCTTCGGAGCCTCCGCCGGGGCCAGAGAGGGCCTCTCAGAAGGCCAGGGGGCTGGAAGCCACGCCGCCTGCTGGAACGCCCCGCCCCCCTCGTGGCCCCCCTCGGCGCGCCGGCGATCGAGGAGCAGCTGGCCGAGCTGGCGCAGGAGCTGGTGGACACGCGCGGGATGCACCACTGGCAGCGGGCGCGGCACAGGTCGGCACGAGAGGGATGGGTACGGAAAGAATAGGCACGATGCCCCACAGCAGTTCCTGCTCATTTTGAGCAGGACTCGCTGTCCGCGCCGCCGCGGCTTGTCCATTCGAGACAGAAGGCCGCCTGCACAACAGCGGCCGCTGTTGGTTTGGGACAGCCTTTGTTGTTGGGCATGGTAATGGAGGATGACGGTTAATAAATGACCGGGGGTCGTGTTCACGCGGCGGCGCCCGGGATGACGATTAGAAAAAACCGGCCGCGGCTGGAAAACTATGTTTTAACTCGTTCTCCTCCAGTCAGAAAGTTGTGCAGAAATAGCAGAAAACTTGCTTTTTATCGTTCTCTCCAAATTTTAATTAATCGTTATCCGCATGACCCTTTTTTCCGTACCCATTTCGGGCGTCCAAGCCAGGGAGCACGTCGCGGATCTGGAGCGCGATCTCGCAGAGGCCCGGCAGGGACGCGCCGGCGGTCGGAGGGGGAAAAGTGGCACGCAGAACCTCTCTCGGAGCTCCGCGCGGAGGTCTCGCATAGGCGGTGGTCCTCGGAGTCGGCTGGGGATACGAGGCCTGGCATCGCTCGGACGTGTGCATTTTTTCTCGGCGAGGACCATCGAGGACCATCCTGGACCATCGAGCAAGCAAAACACGCACGAAACCGAAAACTGCACAGGAAATGGACGTCCGAGCGACGGCAAGGAGGTGGCCAGCGCCCAGCATTGGTTCCGGCCAGCGGAAGGGAGAGGCAGGGGGCCAACTTACAGTCGGGGCCCTGAAGAAGGAACCCTTTTCGTTAGGGAGGGGCTCCGCGTTCCTTAAGTGTTTCACAGCTTGCCTCAGGCTTTCCTCATGTTCTCGACAGGAAATCGAAGTTCAACTTATGGTTAAAAGGGGCCTCGTTCCTTATTTAGGGCTCCTTAGGTCAACGCCCCGACTGTAGTCCTTGTTGGACCTCCCGGGGGCTTCTCGTCGCCACGGCAGGACGCGGCTCGAAAAAAAGCGGCGCGATTGGGTCGACAGTTGGACCCTGGGAGGAGTCCGGGGATGGATTTTGGGCGCATTTGGCCTCATCCTTAGTGGGCCCTGGAAACGACAGGGCCGTTTTTGTTACCGGTTCCGTTTTGCCGTTTGTTTGCCGGTTCCGACGCAGTTTTTTTACTGGTTCCGTCGCCGTTTTTTGACCGGTCCCGGCTCCAATTCCAATCTTGGAACAGTTTTTTGCCGTTTCCGGTCGCCGTTTTTTTCCCGCTTCCATTTTCAACTGATATTTTTTCGGAAACGGTGAACAAACGGCCCTGCCGTTTCCGGGGCCCACTAAGGCCTCATCCCCCCCTCTTGACCCATTTTCTCGGGCCGAACGACATGGTGGGATAAGGAAAGGGGGGTTACGAAACGTGCTGCATGCAGCTGGTTTCGACCCCGCCGCTGGGCCCATTCCTCGATGCATGGGCGCCTCCCAGCGCCGGGAGGCGCAAGGAAAATCAGCTACGTGAGCTGATTCTCCTACCCTTTGCTTCCCTCTTTGGTTCCAGCTCGCTTCGCGCGCCAGGGGTGGCGCCAGCGGCACCGCCAGGGGGGGGCCCGCAGAGCCGGCCCGAGGAAGAGCCGTGCAGACCTCCGAAAAAATTAGGTGGGACGGGCGCGGGGGTTGCCGAGGGGACCGGATGTTTCAGGCGATCGCAAACATGGATCAAGGGGGCGTGGATTAGCGATGGGTCCCGTTTCCATGGGACGTCGCGGATTTCCGCCGCCGAACGAGGCGGCACTGGCCGCATTTTGGGGATGGTACCTCCCCCGTTTAAGATTTGGCGACCGCGCGCCAAATCCATGTATCGCTAATCCATGTTTGCGCGCCCCCGAATGTTGGAGGGTGAGTTCGAAGTGAAGCGGGCAACGGGAAATCGGCTTCGGTTTCGTGTTCGTGTCGTTCGTGCGGGCGAGGCGAAGCGGTGAAGCTGCGTGGGCGAGCGAGAGGAATGGACCCGCTGCTGCCAGGGAGAAACTGAGTCCACTGACCACTGACTCTATCCCCGGTTGGCCGTCGGGAGCCCTGGGGTGTCCCGCTGGTGACCCGTGGTGTCCCGTGGTGTCCCGTGACGTCGATTGCGAGATCGATAGTCCAATCGATAGTGAGATCGATACTGGGACCGATTGTGAGATCGATAGATATGGTGATCGACAGGTAGAGGGAGATTGGTAGTGATATTGATCGTGAGATCGATAGGTCGATTGGGAGTGAGATCGATAGGTAAATGTCTAAGCACGTTGCCCTGTACCTTCTCGGTATGTCCTGATGCTAAAAGAATAGACCAACAAATGCCACCTAGATCGATTGTGTGAACGATTGTGGTGTTCCGTGGTGCCCCGTGGTCTTGCAGATCGCATTGCGCCGGTTCGCATTGGGCGCCTGCTGGAAGGGTTGGTTGGCGTGGCCGGCTGGCGCGGCCAGCAGAGCGCCGGCGGCGACAGCAGCTTCTGGCGTCCGACCGCATCTCCAGTTGGGGATGGCGGTTGATCACGCCAAGGACCTCTCGGCGAGAACCATCGAGGACCATCCTGGACCATCGAGCAAACAAAACACGCACGAAACCGAAAAGTGCACGGGAAACGGACGTCCGAGCGATGGCGAGGAGGAGCTGCGTTGCTCCTGCCAGGAGCACGCGCGCGCGGGAGCTGCGCTTCGGCCCTCGAGCGCGCGGGCCGACGCCACCAGAGCTGCGCGGGCGCTCGCGCGCAAAGTGCTGGGCCAGTTTGGACCAAACTGTTGGCAGGACTCGTTCGGCACCATTTGCCGGAGGTGCCGTCGTGTAGCCCAACGGTCGCGCGCTCTCCGGTGTCAAGTGCGCATGAGGACCCGAATGAGGGCCAAACCCCAATGATTGCAATCGGGTGGTTCACTGGCGGTCGCTTGTGGAGATACGACGTCGCCTCTCAGCAAATCACGACCCAAGCTGTGAACAACAACTTGTATTGTTTAGCGC